AGAAAAAGTTTAAGAAAAGTCATCAGTTCCAGGTACCCGAAATCCCATCTCGGGGTTCCAATAAAGACCAAAAAAATTATAACATTCTTATGAAACTTTTTCGGCGCAAAAGTAATAGAGACGATGCATGGGTAAAATAAAAAAAAATAATAGAATTTATTCCATAATTTAGTCCATCAGCCGTAAAAAAAGAATGACTTAAATAATATGCATTAAAGTTGAGGAGTGGGGGGAGTGTCACTACGTCACAGCTATGTAAAAAATGTACAAAGGCGTGACCTCATGCGACATTTCAACTCAATGTATCGCCGTGATTTATTGATTACTCAAAAAATTAAAAAAATAAGTGTTTAATATTTTTCAATAATTTACCTGATGAATAGAGAAACATAAATTAGTTGGTCGTCATCCTTATTCGAGTTGTATAAAACAGAGACAGTATTTTTGTAATAACTTTATTTTTGGCATTTCACAATAAATTTATAAAGGTTTGTACATCACAGGGACTTTCGAAATCTTCTGAGCTTGTTTCGTCTATTAGAAGGCCCCTTTTCAGTCTTGGCTTAGGGCGACATTCGGTAACGAACAATATGAAAAAGGCTTTGTTACTTTTGGTGAAGCCATTTCAAAGATGATTTCCTTTATACACACAACTCACGTTTCAATCAGTGGTCACTTAACGAAATCTGTTTTCCGGAACTTCTAAAAAAAATTGTGTAACGTGTTGTGTGATACAGACTTAATTTTTCGCAATATTGTATCATACTCTCCTAATTTATCTATGCTTCGCTCTAAACTCTATTCTTGTCACTTGCAGCTTTTTCTTCTGTCTTCTTAGCTTTCGTTTTATATTGTACAATTTATAAATATATTTCCTATTTCTTCCCCAACCCGCCGTTTCGTTTGCTGTCCTCAACACGTGTGTTTATATGTAACATGAAAAAGCACAGTTTTATACATAAATATTCTTTTGTAAGACTTACGCCCGTTAACACGGCCTAACTAGAAATTTCCTAGCTTTACTAGTTAGTGCCGCACTCATACGGTAATAGAAAAACCTTTTTTTATTGTAGGGAAAATTCTTAAAGCATATCCCGCCGCCTGGCGAGCGATGAGGCTATACGGGATTCCCCTCCGTGGGTCCATCCAGTAGGTATTCGCGCGATGGACCCACAGAGACCTTCCCACAAAAAACCCTACAGTGTACCCTCACGTGGGGGGATAATACCCATGATACGGCATCATGGGTCACCGGTACAGCCATCCCCATGCGTAATAGAAAAACTTATAGTAAATATTTACTAAAAGTGATAGCAATAAACTTGATAAAATCAATGGTCACAGGTACATACAACCGCACATTGGTTTACTACAAAATGTAAATTTTAAGAACGTATTTATATTTCCATAAAAAAATAATCTTTCATATTATAGATATTTCCAATTTTCATGACCTAAGTATTTTTTTCACTCTGTTTTCTTCGTTTATGTGCGATATATTATTTATTTTGAGATTTCTCCGCATTTCTAATTAATTATAGGTTGTATAATCAAGTTCGAAAGCCATTAACCGACCACAATCACCTATTGTTTGTTGGAACTTTTCTCGTTAGTAACACGGCATTAAATCAGTTGATCCTGTTAACCAGCCCTGTGGGCACACTGAACGATCTATGTTTTAATTAAATTGGCAGTATCGGTGGCTCTGGATTTTTACTCGTTGCCATTAGAGCAGTCTTGAGAGATAATAAAACCTGTTTTAGATGCTGAATCAAACAATTTTTTAATTTCAAATTGGTAGTTCGCAACTAGTGCCCAACTAAGCAAGTTAGTTATCCAATCCTGTTTCATACGCAAACACTTCTATGTATTTGCATACATGTGTTACTTTTAGCATCATCGCTTTGCTATTATGCCAAAATACAGCATCGGACACAGCGCTGTCACAAATCAAATGCAATCATTATTACCTGTTAAAGTAGGTAAGATAAGAACAGCGTTGTGATCGTCACGGTGTTTGATGAAGAAGGGCCCTGCATAATTAGTTTTTGCCTGTATTCTTTATCAACTTAAAACTATTTTAAATTGTAAAAAAAAACGAAAGGACCGATAGATAACCGAGTAATTCTGTTACGGCACAAGTCTTTCCCCACTTTCAAAGTAAATCTGAAATTTACATCATGTAGACCTGTACACCTCAGTTAGCTAAAATCTAACTTGGAAACAACTAATATATCTGAAAGCCTAAATCTGAAAGTATATAGAAGTACAATTTTCTCATTAAATGCTTTGGTAATAGAAGCCGGGTCCTTTTAGTTTATTTTAGGTCATTTATTTTGAAGATATTTCAGTCCAAACCGGATCATGGAATATGGCAACGACACGAAATAATGATACGAACCACACGACAACAGAACTAATCATGTATATTTGGCCATCCATTTGCACAAACGTTCATTAAAGTAACGACAAATGAAAATTGTTGGTCGTCGTCATTAAACGTTCAAGACCGTTTCTGCGACCGTCTATTAGATTAACAAATCCTCATACCCTTATTCTTTTCTACATTAGTGTTTAAAATAATAACTAATTACTGTTCGTTGCCTTGCTTTAATATAAAATCGTATATACATATAAAATCTGTAGAAAAATAATGCTATGGATAGTGTTTCACTTTCCCTTAAGATTTATTACATAAAACCTTTCGCAAGATAAACGTCGTGTCCTTTAGTTGTGTAAGTGTCCCATAAAGATACTGAAGGAACTATTATATATATTTATGATGTCACACGGCACTTCGTCACCAAACATTTGCAACGCCAGAAATATTATTTGAATTGTCATATTGCCAAACGATATCGAACGCGGACAGCCATGAATATAAACATTAATATGCATTTACCAATCATCGTCGCTATAATAACTTATAGCTTATTTTTAAAGGCACCGTAATTAATCAGCACTATCATAAACTCTGTTATACATTTTAATTAGGCACTGTTAAAAATAGTCTATTGATAATTCCGTAATAATTTGCATTCGGTACTGATAATGTTGATAAAGTGAAAATTCAAATTCTCTTAATAGCTTTAACGAATACGTAATATATACAAATATATATAATATCAGACAAGAATAGATGAGAAAAAAGTAAGGTTTTTCTTATTTATACGAAAGCAATCTTAGTAAAGATCCTGATTAGAAATAAGTGTTCTAATGGGTGTATCGGTAGTACCTTTATATAAATTTAAAACTGTCAGTAGTAAGATCAAAACAAATGAGAAAATGTATGAAATTCTTTTTTAAGCACGGAACAGACGTGTTACATAATTATTTTTATAAAATTACAGATTTATAATGCTAGAAAATTTAAAGCTACATAAAATAATTCCCGAAGTAATTTGTAAATTTAAGGGCTATATTAAAATATCTGTCTGTTAATATTCATTAATATTGAAGTCAAATGTTTACCTTTATTAAATATTAACATCCAATAGAAAGCCATCATATTAATCCGTGGAATATAAACTTTAGACTTCTGTTTCAAACACTGTGCGAATCGTAAGAATATGTAAGAAGGTGCGTACAATGCTATTTTATTTTAATAATAACGCTTAAAAACATTAATTTAATAAAAAACTTTACACACACTCAAACGCTTTTCAAAAATATTTATTAATTATCAATTAACCATGCTTATTCTCATATTATAACAAGAAATATTTTATTGTTTGTTTGTATGCATTTAATATAATTCAAAATTACTGGACCAATTTCAAAAATTCTTTCAGCTTCGGAAAGCTTCATTGCCCAATTCGCATGGGCAAAGTCGCGGGAGAACAGTTAAAGTGAATTATATAAAACCTTAATATTCAAATTTTATGATTAAAATTTAGACATTTGGACGAACATTTGTCCATGAAAAATATTTAAATCTCACCATGTCTCTTTGATATTACAAACTAAAGCACAATAAGAATAGATACCAATCTACATAAACAGTGTAAAGGTTACATCTAAAATAGCATTTTCAAAGAGCGATGTCATTATGAAATCTTCTTTCAACTCGTGGCCTCCTTGTTGCCTATCATTTGTTTGAGTTGCGATAACGCAGCTAATAGTCATGAATTTCCATCGTTCTGTTTATAATGAACGGTATGTCCTACGGTTTCAACTGCCATGGCTCAGTTAAGGACTATTTAAAGTACCTAATATTAAATAACCTCCTGCACCTTCCTTATATAGACTTAGTTTTGGCCACAGACCACTTTTTAGACTTTTGGGACTTCCAAAGTGTATTAACTAACGCTAATGCATAGGTTAATATAATACTTTACCGTATATGATCTTTGAAATGTTGAATTATGGGAAAACTAATATCATTAATACCTGTGATACGATAAAGATCAAATCCTCGTAACTCTTAAAACCATCAAAAGTGGACCATAATTTTAAATTGTCTAAAGCCGTGTCTTCTGCCCTACTTTTTATTGTTATCGCCATGAAGAGTAAGAATTATATAGGTATTTTATTCCATTTCAGAAGTATGTTTCAACAAAAGAGGTGTAATCTAAAAAAAATATAATACTAATAAAGTAGTAATTCATGTCTATATATTTAATTATTTATGTTCTAGATTGTAAGTATTACATTCACTTTAAAAACGGTACAGTCACGTCAATAAATTTTCGCAATTTTACATGTCTTGTCTTTGCGGAGGATAATAATAAAAAATGTAATACTCGTCAGCATCTAGTTGTGCAATATATAAATATTACAAGAAAACAAATCAAAATAATTACATAAAATGCATGCGAAAGGAATAAGACATATTAAGCAAATTATTTTTACCTACTTGTTGCTAATGTCACTGTTTGTACAAATATCTCTGATTCGGATGTTGATTACATCTAAACATTATCTGTATTGTAGTTCTGATAAGTTTCAATAATATATACAAATAAAATTACTATATACATTCAGCTGAAAAAGATTCTTACCTCAAACACGCTAGCCAGTAAAAGGTAATTCCTCTTCTCGCAAACACAAGTCACTAGTTAGATCACAACTTTTTATAATAGTTCACAAACAAAGGTTTATAATCAGTTAGTACGTAGTTCGCGGCTCGTGAATAGCGGAGCGTCGCGCGAGTAGCATCCGCAGTGGTCTGAGGTGAACTGGGGTACGATGGGGTGCGGGCGGGAAGAGCAAATGATCCACCCGCCCAGGAGAAGGCCCCCGTTTTTATACTTTTGTTCATGGATGTACCGGATCACATACCTGTACCTCACTACTCCTAGCGTTAATAATCGATGCCATTTGTATTTAGAATTAATTTGAAACTCTTATCTAGTCTTTGCTAATAAGACTAGATAAGAGTTAGAACATTCTATTTTTTTTCTTTACATTTAACGAGCATATAAAAAGGAGTGAATTCAAAAGAGTATTTATTTTACTGTCTGTACTGGGGGACTGGGGACCGCATCAAAACTGTTATAGCTTTCGGGGGTCTCAATTGTTATGATTATTTTTTCAGATGATTGAGACCGACCGCAAATAAAAAGTAAAGTTATGTTGCGAATACAGTACCCGTTTATATATGATGGTAATTCTAATTAGTATGAAATTATAGAGATGATCCGAAGTTCCAAAATAAATGAATGAAGTTGTTTCATATATTCATTGATGATTACCTTATCGTTGCTTGGAATCTTATGAATGTTGTTAACTAATGTGAGGTCGCCAATTTATTCTAGTATCTCTAATTTTTGAGTCAGCTATGAGCATTATTTATACCTTAGGGAAACTACCTAATTTTCTAGCCATAGGATACGACATTACGAAGAATCTTAGGCATGTTATAGTGACATTTCATTTCACAACTTTGACATATATTTTAATTAAGACGAACTAATGACAAAGAATGTAGATTATATATTTAACAACAGTATGTCCAACATAAATGGTTATTCCCCAAATGAAATGTCAAAATACATGGTACAATGAAACGAAATATTGCTATAATATTCTTAAAATTTAGTATGGCTAGAATCATGGTTAGAGAGTTACACTTCTGATATGCTTAACTTTACATAAAATTTATGCTTTTTCACTAAACTTAGAAGTCAACCAAATCTGTCGCCTTAATATTAAGTAATCGCTTAAAGTGAAAATGTATTTCACCATTGACTAGGAACCACCTAAAGACATTATGTTATGTCTAAAGTTATGCCATGCGCTATGCAGTGCCTTACGCTAGGCATTTGCGTAATAAGACAGATCACAGATTTGTCGAGGGATAAAAGAAAAAATGATTATTTGGAATTAAACTAATCTGATTAAACGATTCACAAGATGCAGCGTTTCTTTTATTTTCGCAAGGGTCGATGACGGATTGGTTGGCTAAAAAATTATAATCTCGAGCTACTCCGTGCTTCGCAAGCACGTTAAGCCGTTGGTCCCGGTTGCATTTAAAATACTCTTCAATCCGCATTGGGTTAGCGTGGAGCATCATGGCTTATCCTCTTTGGATGGTTATCCACAAAGAAGACTGCAGGGGTGCGTTGGGAACGTTAAAATGGCTGACGAAGATGCTGACACCAAAACCATTATAAAATGTATGCACTGTTGATAGTTTTTCTGTATAAAGAATATTGAAGAAAGTAGAAATTAAAAATAATAAATCGAAAGTTAGTTAACTATTTAACACGCCCTGTTTATTGACAACACTGGTAGTTTCTATTACGTTACTTTATAATAACTATTCATCATTAATAGCTGTATATTGACTTTATATTGAGGGAATATATAAAATAATAATAGCAAAATAATTATTTATTATGGTGTTTTTGATAGCTCTATTTCATTATCAAATTCATTAATATTTGTTATTATTATTGGATGAAAAAAGAGTGAAGAAATTTTTAAATATTTTCCTTTTTTAATTTTGAAAAGATAATGAAATTATAAAAAAAAGTATTACATAAATATTTAATAATGAAATAAGAATTAAAAAATTCAACGCTTCGCTTATATTTCCTTTTCATAATATATCTAAATATTAAGGACTATTTCTGTGATTTTTTGTGTGATATTTTTCGTAGACAGCTTGTGGGCCTGAGATGGACCCATATTTTTATTCAAAATCGGATCATCGCTTTTGTTTTATATCAGAATAATCAATTTTATTTTTAAAATTCAATAGAATTTTTTGGTTCGCCCGGTACGTCTATTTGACAGTAAAAAATCGGCTAAGCTAGATGTTTTGAATGAGGTGTGAAGTATGCAAATTAAAACTTGTATGGTTATGGCATGTAGAGTGAGCAGCTTGGCTCTATTAAGAACAGAATGCTTTTTCAGAGTGTCGTCTTGGCAACATTTTACATTAAATGTTCTTGGCGGGATCTAGTCTACACTTAGATGTAATCGAAACTGTTTTATCCAAAATCTGTGATTTATTACTGACAGTATCGATAACCTGACATTTGTCAGATTATATTTAATCTGTGATTAGATTTACGATTGCGAATTCTAGTTTTTTATTTTGTGGTTACTGGGCCATTTTATTGAGCATAACCTTCAATAACAGTCTAATATTAGTGCTCATACACAAAAACTGACTGTTTATTAGGATTGTGTACGCAGGTTACCGAATTATTTCAAATTTCCACAATTGATGTTGATTTAACAGTAATATATAACTTGACCTGCTGTTGACTGTACTAAGAATAACGATCAAATAGACTGTACATTAAATAAGAAAACAACATTACAGTTCTAATAGTTTTGCCGCAGTTCAAACGTAAAATAAAAGTATCTCGGTGAAACATAATCATAAAATTAACCCTAAAATTCATTTTTTCGATTTCTTGTTGTAATTACATACTTTATTATAGAGAAAATTGATAAATGTGCGAGTTACTTTGTATATGTGGGCTATAACAATTTTTCAATAATCACAATGGTTTCAGTGTTATTATCATCATCAGCCCTTTTACGTCCCCACTGCAGGGGTCAGGCCTTCCTTATGGGTGGTTAAGGAGGATGAGCCATGCCCCCCCACGCTAGCCCCATACGGACTGGAGGATATTGACGACAAATGGCTAAATGTGCCTTCCATAGCATGGAGTAACTTGAGATAATAATTTTTTGGTCACCCATCCTGTGACAAACCCTTCCGAAAGCGGCTTAACTATAACGATCGCGGGCCACGCCGCTTATCCACTACGCCACTGAGCTATTTTAAAGTTTTTCCTGTATTTAATCAAAACATTCATGTGCAATTAGGCATCCTCTGTTCTTATCTGTCTCATAGCCAAGCGCAGTCTACTAGATGACGATTGCCTCTTTTTTATCCATTATTAGGCCAAAGGTCTTTTCAATAGACGAAACGGGCCATTTCTCACTACCGCTTGCCTAATATGGAGTGGTAAGTGTCAACGAGTGCAGCTACAGGCGGTAATGACTTAACATCCCTTGCGCAGCACGAATAAGCTCTATCTGGCCCTTGCGAAAGTTTCTTGACGTCTGTAAATCGAGTGCACTAATCTAGTGATTAGTTGCACTAATCATTGGGACTCAGAGTGAACAAGCCAAGTTCAAAAGAGTATAGATTTACCAAAAAAGAGACCTTAGCATCTTTATCTGTAAAAAATACTTTATGACTATCTTGATAACAACCTCCGAATTAAGATATTTTGTATAATTTTTGAAATGATGATGAAACATACAACCGATGGAGACAATTTTAAGAACCTAAACAATTTGAATGATTGTTTGAATTCAAACACCCACTTAAGTAAGGATACAAGAAACAAAGAGTTTATTATACAACATCTTATAATAATAATAGCTTTACAATTATATTTGAATGTAAGTACAAGATTAAATTAAAAATATACAAAAACATGCAAATATTTAAACATAATTCAATGTTATTCAAACAAAAAAAAAACAAGATCATTCTATATTTATACAATAAGACTTAGGTAGTATTTATTTAGCTATTTTTCATTGAGCAAAATGCACTGACCATTATAAAAGTCCTCTAGCGTATAGAAAATCTGTCTAACGGAATTCGTTAATTGCTTAAGACCTCATAATCGGTATCTAAGTGGAAATAATGTAAATTTTATTTTTCGAAACGTCCGGGTTCTATTCAAACCGAGAACTAGTTTTTTTTTTTATTATGTGTGAAAGCAGTTTTTCTTATCATAGTCAAAATGGTGACATGATTCCTGAGAACATTTAATATTTTCGTGTATCTTATAATTTCAGACTTTCTCATAGTGACCACGCTAAATGTTACAGCCTATATACAATCAGAACGCAATGTGCGATTATACCTGTGCTTCAGAATCTAAAGGAAATTATATAGAGTACAGGTACCTTCAGTAACCGGAAACGTGTCAAACTGGTCACAGTAGAGCGACCTACCCTACTCCTTGAAATGAAAGATGTCACTGACAAGATTGTAAAGGTTTGAATTAGGCTTCTGTTAATACTATATGGCAAGGTTGTAGTAACATTGTCCTTTTTCTTTGAATTAAGTTCAATATAGGGATAAATAAATATTGTAAAAAAAACATAGAAAAATGACATTGGATATTACAATGAAGTAATTGGTAAGAGCAGATGTCGAGTGTAACTGACTCGTCAAGAACTTTATTATTAACACATTAAAACATAAAATCTGAATTCGAGAAATTTGATGCTATTCGCTGTAAATAACTGAATATTAGATTGGTAGTTTTCTTTTCATAAAGTCGTATTTTGTCGTTTTTGTGTGTTATGATTGATTAAGTTTTCTTGGCAACTTATCCATATTGTAAGCATAAAATTCACAGCAAAAAAAATGTATTGCTGTGATAATATTTTTTATTACTATACTAATTAGAGATGCGCTGATAGTGGTTTCACCGAATAGCCGAATACCGAATGGCATTAGGTTTAACTATTACCAAACCGGATATTCGGATGAATTTATTTGGGTTACCATTTCATTATTTTTTTTTAGCCAGAGTGTTCCTAAGTGTTCCTTGTAATATAGCGAAAAATTCTTTCAGAAGCAGGAAACCTATATGAAAACAAACCTAACAGACTCTTGCTCTTGTGTTTCTGCACCATAATTTACCATCAATGAATTATAAATATTAAAATATGTTCCTATATCTATTTTTG